AAGACCTTTAACCAAAAGCTCAACGGTTCTCTCTAACAATAACTAGTTAATACAAAGTCATTTTGAAGTTAATAAAGATGTGTCTTCTTCCATGACAGAACGTATCCTCCGCAGTAATTGCATTTAAACAAACTTTCTTTTATTCAGACAGTGAGTGCCTTAATTGGCTACTTTAATGTAAATATTAAAGTACAGCATTCAAAGGAAACGAAGATTTTATTTAATGTTGTATTATAATCAATATAAATTATAGGTAAAAATAACTTAAGAAAGTATCTGGTTTCCAGAGGCAGCACTTATAAAAAGGGTTTAAAACATAATGTATTTCAATTCTAATCTTCATCTTTATTCTGGGGTCCTGTTTGATCTGTTTCCCTTGGTAACAACCAGAACAATGAGCACAAAAGATTTTTAGGGGAAAATATATAGACGGTAGAGTTTCAAAGCTCTGGTGAATTAGCATAACACCAGGATACAATGAAAGTGTTTCACGCAGTGTCCTAGAAAGACAGAAATGAAGGAAATTTATAAGGCTGACTGCAGGAGGGCAGCAGGGGAGGTTAGGGAAGCTTTAGCTGCATTCAGGACAGTCCCAAATTCCTGGACAAAATCCCAAACTCTGCAGAGGAAGTGCATGTAGAAAGAGGAGAGTAAATAGTTCGCACAACTATTTTTGAGTGAGAGATTTTTTAAAAAACTTAAAGCCCAGCCCATGGAACCAGAGTCAAGTTCACCATTCTAGGGTGTTGCACACTGGTGTTCAGAAGTCTGTCACCCTCAGGTAACTATTTTCTATTAAAGTGGGATTTATGTTCCCATTATAACATTACTGTAGAAATGTCTTCCTTCTCACCATATTAATCATTGAGAATTTGCCTTATCTGAATTTTCCAGAAGTAACATTTTGATTGTCTTTAACTTTTTAAGAAAAAGAAATAGTTTACCTTACAAATGATGCTATTTGTTTCACCATGAAACCGGACAGATTCAGTCATAGAATCTTTGATGCATCTGACAATAGATTGTTTTCTGCCTTCAACCTTACTGAACAAATATATTTTTGGAACACCTCCATGAATCCAAAATTAAAGATCTTTAAGCAAACATAGTAAAAATGAAAATGAACACATCTTCCATACATATAAGTACAACTAAAAAACTGTCAGTTTTATTTTTCTTCTTCTGAATTCTCTGTAACTCACAGAATATTGTACTATTTGGCATGCATGGTGATTTAGGTTTAAAAATCATAAAATCTCCATTGACTACTTTAAAACTGTAAATCATAGTTTGGACTTGCAGGTAGACAGTATGACAATTTGGATTTGTTTCATTAACACTATCATGAAGGCTACAACTCTAACAACTTGAAGCTCTTTTAATGAGTTTTTTAACAGATGATTTTTCTGAGAAACCTAGAGATACAAGCAATCAATATCTTTAGAAGGAGAATGATCACTCTGTCTGATAATGACATTGTGGTTTCAAGGTACCCCCAGCAGTCTTATGCAATTTCACAAATATTTTTTATTGTTTTCCTACAACTAAAATTCATACAATATCAGGTATGGTCTCTAAATACTTAAGTTGTCAATGATGTCAGGAGGCCTGTCTTGATTCAAACTGTGAGCAGAAGTTTCCCTTTAGATCCTGCTACATTTTATTCCTTTCCTTCCTTACTTCTCTCTATTCTTCTCCAAACTCTCTCAAGTTTCTACCCAACTGCCCTGTACACCACTTCCACCTGTCATCCTCTTTTCATATATTCAAGTTTTCACATAATTATAATTTTTAACTTAATGCCTAGTGCCTACTGATAGTATTTATATATCAAAAAATTCTTAAAGGCAGAAAAAAATAATTTAAAATGATTAAGTTATTTATTTATTGGACCATAAATACTTGTTCATACACTGGGTGGTGGAAAGAATTCCATATAGAAATCTGAGATAAATTTATTGGGATTATAAAGGAAAGAGATGTCCTTTATCTTCTTCTTAATGATTCATTTATTCTACTGCCAGATATTACTCTGAAATATGTTAATAGAGCAGATTCCAGAAGAAGGGAGACAGGAGATATCCAGCATGTCATTAAGTTGACGTTTATTGATAACCACTCTGGGTTCCAGGCCCTTTCCTTCTTTTAACAATACATTGAATTGCTTAGTAATGTGCTTTGGCCCTACCATCTTAAGTCATCTCATCCTTTCTGGCCATGATCCCTGCAGAATGATAGGCAAATAACCAAACTTCTTTACTGTGTTAGAGAAGCAAACTCTCTACCAAACAGAGGCAAGGGTTTTTGAATTGCCAAAAGTTTGTTGGCAGCCATCTTGGAAAAACAAGAGGAGCCAGTTCTGAGAGTTAGGACAGCCCAGAGAAGTGGATCCAACACTGTGGGAGGGATCCAGAAGCCAGTCTATGCCCATACATAATTCTAGACACAACGTGAAAGCCCTGGTCAATAACCCTTGTCTGAAGTTTGGCCTCCTTTGGATCATTCTGTTACATAAATCTAGGAAGTTTCCTTTCACATATAAGCTAATTAGATTCAGGTTTCATGAAACATTTCTGCTATGAATGTTCTATAGGCAATACAATATTTTCCTTATGAAATGAAATAAACATTAGGTAGTGGGAAGAAATTGGATAAAGATCCGTGTCCATAATAATCATCATTAATGTGTTCAGATAATGGGAACAGCTTAGTCTCTAAGTCTTGGTCTTCGAGGAAGGGTTGGGTAGTTCACATAAATATCCTCTTTTGCATCATCCATGGCTTGATTGGTAGGCATGGCACTTCTAAAATTATTGGTTATCTACAAAAATAAACAGCAGGCAATGTTAATATTTCCTTTTATTTCAACAGCCAATGATGACAGTCAATATAAATCTCCTAATTTGACCATGATATCGGCCAAATTGAAGTTATAAATAATTGCATAGAACGTTCCCGTTATTACGTGGAACTTCAATTATAAGCCACATTCTCAATTTCCAGGACTCTAAATGAGATGAAAATAAATCTAATCTAGATTATTGGTTTGTACATTTTGCTAAGAATTACCTGTTTAAATGCAGAACCCCCTCCATTAATGGTAGGTAGTTTTGCTAAGAAAGATTATTTTGATTCTATTTCTCTATATATATTTATACACATACACACACATACACACATGTCGTTCTCCCACATGCTTCTTTTCTGTCCCATACAAGTGGTCAATGTAACTTGATCAGGGTAGAGAAGATTAATGAATACATAACATCATTTCTAAAGAAAATATTAAACTCTATCTTTCTTTCATAAAAATTTCTAACAAATTTGTTCTTGGATTGGCTTGAGTAAGTGGCCAAGTACAACAAGGGAATCCAAAAATTGAGCACAATAGAGAGTTATTTTATTGTGCACTAAAGTAACAGATGAAATAAGGCAAGGTTTCTTGATTCTGCAGTTGATGAAAGAAGCATGCCATGAGTTAGTCAGAAAGAAAGAAAAAAACATTTGCAAAGAGTAATTACTTAATAATAGAAAAAGTTAAACTGATAGTTATTAAGAATTCTGAATAGTGGATTGTCAGAGATTTTTTAGTTCATGACTTTTTAAACATGAAGAATTAAAGTGCAAATAATTAAAGTGAGGAAAAATTTATGTAATTTTGGACAGCACTTGAGAAAATGTCATAATTCATCCTGCTTAATAGAATAGCACAAACTAAGTAAGTTACTTAAACAATAAACATTCATTTTTCAGTTTTTCAGGATCCCAAGTCCAAGATCAAATGTCTGGTGAGATCAAATGTCTCCTTCTTGGTTTGCAGATGCTTTCCTCTCCCAGTGATCAGTCTTTATGCAGAAAGCAAAGAGAAGAAGCAAGCCCTTGTATCTCTTCCAATAAGGGCAATAATCCCACTCGAGAGAGCTCCACCCTCATGATCAATCACCTCAGAAACTTCCACATCCTATCACAATCACTATGGGAGGAAGAGGAGTTAAGACTTCAACCTGTGAATTTGGAGGGGGACACAAGCATTCAAGCAACAACAATGTTTTATTGTAAAATTTAACAAACAAAATATGCGCTGAAGAAGCATAGATGATCATCAAGAACATAACAAATGTTAATGAGGATGAGAGGGAAAAGGAAATCTCATACATTGCTGATGGGAATGCAAGGTAGTATAACCACTATGGAAAACAGTATGGAGGCTCCTCAAAAAACTAAAAATCGAACTGTCAGATGATCCAGCAATACCATTCCAAGGGATATACCCAAAGGAATGTAAATCAGGTTACAATAAAGACATCTGCAAACCCATGTTTATTGCAGCATTATTCACAACAGTTAAGCTATGGAAAGGGCCAAGATTACCCATGACTAATGAGTGGATTAAGAAAATAGCATTTGTTTACAGTGGAATTTTATTCAGCCACAAAGAAGAATGAAATTTTGTTGTTTGCCGGTAAATGGATGGAACTAGAGAACATCCTCTTAAGTGAAGTTAGCCAGATTCAGAAAGCCAAAGGCCACATGTTTTCTCTTTTATGTGGAATAGAACTAATACAAATACAGAAATATTATGAAATACAGATCATGCAACGGGAGCTCACATACAAGAGAGGGAGGGTAAAAGAAGGAAGTTAAGAAGGTGAATATGGTTGGTGCACTTTCTACACAAGAATGAATATAGAATTTTTAAGCCTGTTGAAATCACCATAAGAAAGGGACTAAAGTAGAAAGAAAAATAGAAAGGATGTGTGAATTCTTTCAGGTTATAACACATATGTACATGGAAAATGTTACAACGAAGCTCCCTGTATAGCTATCTTATACAGCAAAAGCGTCTTTTTTTTTTTTTCAAAACCAGAGAACTGGAAGGTAAAACAGGTCCTGTTTGGTACCAGTGGGATGGAGGATGTGAGAAAAGAGTGTAGGAAGGTGAATATAGTGGAAATATTAGGTGCTTATGTATGAAAATGGAAAAATGAGACCTGTTGAAACTGCTCCAAGAATGGGAAAGGAGGATGAAGGAGAATGATGGAGGGGAAGGAACTCAACTATGATATATTGTAAGAACTTTGGTAAATGTCACAATTTACCCCCCATCCAACAATAACAAAAAATATTTTTTTAAAAAGTGAGCAGGGATCAGGAACCAACGTAAAGCAGTTAGAGTTGAGTCAACATGGGTCGTAACACATGGGTACACAAAAGCAATAGTAGGAATCTCTCTGTGTAGCTATCCTTAACTCAACTAGCAAAAGCACTTTGTCTTCCTTATTATGCTTATGTCTTTTTTTCAACAAAATCAGTGATAAAGGCAGAACAGGACCTGCCTGGAACAAAGGGTGGGGGAGGGGGAACGAGTGGGGGAGGGGAAGATTGGTGGGCGAGGGGGACAGAAGGGGAGAAATGACCCAAACAATGTATGCACATGTGAATAAATGAACAAAAACATAAATAATAACTAAATAAAAGTTAACACACACAGAAAAAGAGGGATAAGTGACATAGTGGAGACAACATGAAAATAAGCAATCTCCTATCTGCATGCTCAGAAGGAAGTTTTTGTACTTTAAACTAAACAGTATGGGACAGAGCAAAATGGAGTGAGGAGGAAATTTTATAGCTCACCCCAAAAGAAAGTTCTTTAGTCTTAAAATCTAATTTGAATACTTATTAATTCATAGATTAATTCAAAGGCAGTAGTAGTAATGAGTGTCATGCATTATATTCTTCTATGTGCTTGATATGCTTCTGAGTCATTTATGTAGTTTAATTTAATCCTCACAATAACCTTATGACATAAACAATAATGGTGTGCTCTGTACTGGGTTGAATAGTGTCCCCCTAAAATTAACATCCTTCCTAGAACCTCACTATGTGATCATACGTGATCTTATCAAATAAGATCATTGCAGATGTAACTGGTAATGTTGATGCAAGGTTGCATTTGAGGAGGTGGTGATAGTAGGGAGTCAATGTGATCAGCGTCTTTGTAAAAAGGGAAGACACACGGACACACAGGCAGAGGCAAGACAAAGGCAACAATTTTGAGATGTGTCTTTAGGCCAAGAACTGCCAAGGACTACAAACAATTCAGGAGACTGGGGAGAAGCATAGAATGGATTTCACCCCAAGAAGCAGCCATCTTCTTCACAGCTCTTTTTGGGTTTCAACCCTCCAAACCTATGAGAGCACATATTTCTGCCAATTTAAACTACACAGTTTATATAGCTTGTTATTCAACCTTAGGAAACTAATACAGATTTTCGTAAAGCATAGCATAGCCTTAACTATTATTATGTCAACATGATGCTCCTTTATTTGTGTTTATAAAAACCTTTGTGTCAAACTGTATTAACCATAAGAGAATAGTTCAGAGAATAACTGTTTCCCCAAACAGGTGACACTCAAATTACAAGCAACTGCATGGACAGATTATTTAATGGAAAATAAAGTAATAAGATTCCCTAACTGGAAAACAGACTGAATTTATAAGACATTTATAAATCATAAAAGAAAAAAATGACAATTCTGAGTGAGCTCACCTTACTCTGTGTATCCCAAGACTCTTGAAATGGTACATTTATCAGTCTCCTTCTCCTTCTAAAATACATGTTAAATAGAGAATATTAAGATACTATACTCCAGAATTAGCATCATCTCAACTACTACAATCCTTGCCATTTCCCCAGCCCACATGCTCTTAGTAAATTGTAGTCATGGCCACCCACAATTGCTTCATGAATACATATGTAACATAGTGACCTATATTTCTTTTTCACTTTCTCTACTTTCTCCAACATGCTCACAGATGGTGAGGAAGATGTATGACTGTCCAGCTAGGGTATATTAGTAACTAATTACAACGATGTTGCTGAAGATGGTTCATAGAAGGTTACTATAGAAATGGTTTGCACCATTGCTGGATGACAATAAAAATAAAGTTAACTTTTGTACAATCATGTGGGTCAGATGGATGATTTTATTTCAATTTCATCAGAACTCTATATGTAATTGATTAGCAAACTGAGGCATAGGGAGGATTAGGAACTTGCCCAGAATCCCAAGGTTGGTTAGAGGTACTGTTGGTATGCAAATCCACAGCCTTCCCTCCTGTCTCTGTGGTTCTCCCACTTGTGGAGTCACTTGCCATGGCAATCTGGAATCGCAGTACTCAATAATCTATTTACAGTTCCAGTGACGCCTAGCCTTGAAAAACCCAACTTCTGGAGAAGTCTGAGAAGAGTAGATACAGAAGAAGAAGAAAAGTCTACTATAATTGAATTCAAAGAAGAAATAAATATACCCAAATAAATGAAGAGAGTTACTATGGGAAGATGGTGAATATCTCTTTTTCATCCTTCTAAAGAAAGGATTCTTATTAAACAACAGAAGAAGTGATTTAGACACCAAAAAAAGTCAGGGTTTTTTGTTTTCTTTTCTTTATTTGTCTTTTAAAATGAGGTTGCAATTCCTTTATAGAACTCTTGAAAACTAGATAGTCTCTCTCTGAGAAAAGTTTATTAAGTGATAAATACTGATTCTAACAGTCTCTTTCTGCTGCTCAGAAGCCCTCTTCCTACCATGTCAACATAATCTTGCATTAGTCTATGTGCATTCATTTATTTGTTATTAAACCAGTTATTCCTTAATTTATTTACTTATTCAGTGTATAAATTTGCTATGTGCAAAAAATGTTTCTGAATGTTTTATATAAAGTAAGTTATTTACTCCTCAAAGGAATTTGTGACACAGCCGCCATCAGTCTCTTTCTACATATGAGGAAACCAAGATGCAGATCAATGACCTTTGATACTTTGTTAAATTGTGATTCACAAGACTATCTCATAATACACATTTCGATTTTTCACTGTGTCTGTCTGTGTGTTTCTATACATACATTTAAATAAGTTTGCATTACACAACACAATGAATAAGAGCTACTACGGGGTTTAAAAACAGATGCTCTGTGTTTAACTTGTGCTCTGCTATTTCTTAGCTAAGTGATTTACATCCCTCAGGCTGAGATCTCTCATGTATAAACTATAGTACATATATCATGGACTGTTCAAGGTTGACCAGCTGCTCTGGTTTGCCTGCAACTACAGCCCTCCTCAGAATGAGGTTTTATTTTCAATGGTAAAACCAGGAACTACACAGGCAAACCAAGATACCATATTTATTGTGAACATCAACATTGACAGCAAATGTATAAATAAGTATTTGACATTTTTCTCACTATTAAATTTCTTGCCACAGACACAGGTGTCCATCTGCAGAACACATTTTGGTTCCCGTCATGCTAACCTAAGCTATGCATTTCCCTGGCTATGTTCACTCACTGGTGTACCACTCTGATGTCTACATGGAAACAGCATGATCTAGAGCAGAAGAACTGCTTTCCAAAGCCCCTGGACACACAGGTGACTAGATATCAGGAGTGAATTCAGAATGTATTGTGGTTTCTGCCAGTTGGCACGTTTGAAGCTGCAGGATTAGTTGTAAAGGTTGGTTAGACAGAGTTCTGAGGGTCATTCCTAGGGTCATTTTTCAAGATATTTCCATTCCAAGTAACAACCGCAGCCAGATTAGTGACAAGGTAGAAAGAACAAGTGCTTTTTTCCTTTGTACTGTTCATCCAGGATGATGCATTCAAGTCCACTGATCTTTTTATCACAATTAACCAGGTGGGACAATATACTCTTTTTTTTTTTTTTTTCTAATACCTGTTCCATTCTTGTTTTTTTTTTTGTTTGTTTTTTGTTTTTTTTAATCTAGGGAATTTTATTTTATTTTATTTTTTTCATTTTTCTTTTATTATTCATATGTGCATACAAGGCTTGGTTCATTTCCCCCCTGCCCCACCCCTCCCTTACCACCCACTCCACCCCCTCCCGCTCCCCCCCTCAATACCCAGCAGAAACTATTTTGCCCTTATCTCTAATTTTGTAGTAGAGAGAGTATAAGCAATAATAGGAAGGAACAAGGGGTTTTGCTGGTTGAGATAAGGATAGCTATACAGGGCATTGACTCACATTGATTTCCTGTGCGTGGGTGTTACCTTCTAGGTTAATTCTTTTTAATCTAACCTTTTCTCTAGTTCCTGGTCTCCTTTTCCTATTGGCCTCAGTTGCTTTAAGGTATCTGCTTTAGTTTCTCTGCATTAAGGGCAACAAATGCTAGCTAGTTTTTTAGGTGTCTTACCTATCCTCACCCCTCCCTTGTGTGCTCTCGCTTTTATCATGTGCTCATAGTCCAATCCCCTTGTTGTGTTTGCCCTTGATCTAATGTCCACATATGAGGGAGAACATACGATTTTTGGTCTTTTGGGCCAGGCTAACCTCACTCAGAATGATGTTCTCCAATTCCATCCATTTACCAGCGAATGATAACATTTCGTTCTTCTTCATGGCTGCATAAAATTCCATTGTGTATAGATACCACATTTTCTTAATCCATTCGTCAGTGTGGGGCATCTTGGCTGTTTCCATAACTTGGCTATTGTGAATAGTGCCGCAATAAACATGGATGTGCAGGTGCCTCTGGAGTAACAGTCTTTTGGGTATATCCCCAAGAGTGGTATTGCTGGATCAAATGGTAGATCGATGTCCAGCTTTTTAAGTAGCCTCCAAATTTTTTTCCAGAGTGGTTGTACTAGTCTACATTCCCACCAACAGTGTAAGAGGGTTCCTTTTTCCCCGCATCCTCGCCAACACCTGTTGTTGGTGGTGTTGCTGATGATGGCTATTCTAACAGGGGTGAGGTGGAATCTTAGTGTGGTTTTAATTTGCATTTCCTTTATTGCTAGAGATGGTGAGCATTTTTTCATGTGTTTTCTGGCCATTTGAATTTCTTCTTTTGAGAAAGTTCTGTTTAGTTCACTTGCCCATTTCTTTATTGGTTCATTAGTTTTGGGAGAATTTAGTTTTTTAAGTTCCCTGTATATTCTGGTTATCAGTCCTTTGTCTGATGTATAGTTGGCAAATATTTTCTCCCACTCTGTGGGTGTTCTCTTCAGTTTAGAGACCATTTCTTTTGATGAACAGAAGCTTTTTAGTTTTATGAGGTCCCATTTATCTATGCTATCTCTTAGTTGCTGTGCTGCTGGGGTTTCATTGAGAAAGTTCTTACCTATACCTACTAACTCCAGAGTATTTCCTACTCTTTCTTGTATCAACTTAAGAGTTTGGGGTCTGATATTAAGATCCTTGATCCATTTTGAGTTAATCTTGGTATAGGGTGATATACATGGATCTAGTTTCAGTTTTTTGCAGACTGCTAACCAGTTTTCCCAGCAGTTTTTGTTGAAGAGGCTGCTATTTCTCCATCGTATATTTTTAGCTCCTTTGTCAAAGATAAGTTGCTATAGTTGTGTGGCTTCATATCTGGATCCTCTATTCTGTTCCACTGGTCTTCATGTCTGTTTTTGTGCCAGTACCATGCTGTTTTTATTGTTATTGCTTTGTAATATAGTTTGAAGTCAGGTATTGTGATACCTCCTGCATTGTTCTTTTGACTGAGTATTGCCTTGGCTATTCGTGGCCTCTTGTGTTTCCATATAAATTTAACAGTAGATTTTTCAATCTCTTTAATGAATGTCATTGGAATTTTGATGGGAATTGCATTAAACATGTAGATTACTTTTGGGAGTATAGACATTTTTACTATGTTGATTCTACCAATCCATGAGCATGGGAGATCTCTCCACTTTCTATAGTCTTCCTCAATCTCTTTCTTCAGAAGTGTATAGTTTTCCTTGTAGAGGTCTTTCACATCTTTTGTTAGGTTTACACCTAGGTATTTGATTTTTTTTGAGGCTATTGTAAATGGAATTGTTTTCATACATTCTTTTTCGTTTGCTCATTGTTAGTGTATAGAAATGCTAATGATTTTTCTATGTTGATTTTATATCCTGCTACCTTGCTATAGCTATTGATGATGTCTAGAAGCTTCTGAGTAGAGTTTTTTGGGTCTTTAAGGTATAGGATCATGTCGTCTGCAAATAGGGATATTTTGACAGTTTCTTTACCTATTTGTATTCCTTTTATTCCTTCTTCTTGCCTAATTGCTCTGGCTAGGAATTCCAGTACTATGTTGAATAGGAGTGGAGATAGTGGGCATCCTTGTCTGGTTCCTGATTTTAGAGGGAATGGTTTTAATTTTTCTCCGTTAAGTATAATGCTGGCTGTAGGTTTGTCATATATAGCTTTTATAATGTTGAGGAACTTTCCTTCTATTCCTAGTTTTCTTAGAGCTTTTATCATGAAATGATGTTGGATCTTATCAAAGGCTTTTTCTGCATCTATTGAGATGATCAAGTGGTTTTTGTCTTTGCTTCTGTTAATGTGGTTTATTACGTTTATTGATTTTCGTATGTTGAACCACCCCTGCATCCCTGGGATGAAGCCTACTGGTCGTGGTGAATAATCTTTTTGATGTGTTGCTGAATTCGATTTGCCATTATTTTGTTGAGGATTTTTGCATCAATGTTCATTAAGGAGATTGGCCTATAGTTCTCCTTTTTGGAGGTGTCTTTGCCTGGTTTTGGGATAAGTGTAATACTGGCTTCATAAAATGTGTTTGGCAGTTTTCCTTCCCTTTCT